ACAACCAAAATTTTAAGGCTATAAACTAAGATCTTAAAAAATATAAAGAAATATTTTATCTTTATATAAAAAGGGAAAAAAGGGTAAATTCCTTTTGTTAGATGGTTTTTGACTTACTATGTGCCACCTACCATGGATCAATTAATGTAATTGAAAATTTTTAACATAAATGGGAAACAATGGAGGGTAAAAATATTAATAGTTTTTATCCTCCAACAAATGAAGCCATAAAGCTAGCTTCAAATTCAAATGAGTTAGGTGAAATAATAATGAATACTTATTATTCTCTAAAAGATAATCATAACATAGGGAGAAATATCTCTATCAAACAAAATTACTACACCAATGTTTGTCTACAAGTGGTAGGACAACACTTGAGTAGAATTGAGAATTTAATAAAAAAGGAAAATAAAAAGTTTTGTCTTCTCAATCTTTAAATGAAAAATTGGTTGAAATTGAAAAGGTAAATATTAAGCCTTATGTTGATACCTCAACATTTAATCTTCATAATAAAGTTGAAGATAAGTTCATAAATGAACTTAAAAAGAAATTAAAAAATTTGTCATTAAATGTAATTTCACAGATAGAAAGTGTAGAGCAATCTGAAACTAAAATACAACAATTTGAAGATTCTTTACACAACATGCAGTCTAAAGAGATAAATAAAATTGGATATTCTAAACCTAAAAGGCAAACTAACATGTATTCTCAAGCACCCCCTATGAAAGCTTATTATCAAAGATCAACCCCTTAATATATTTTGTATGAAAAAAAAAATTTTATTGATTAAATTGGTTATGATGCCTCTTCTATTTATGAGTGGAATATTTATGGTATGTCAGAATATTTAATTCATCAAGTTCTACATAAAATTTTAATGTACGCTTCCATATGTAAGGTCAATCGTAATTCAAACCATACTACTGCTAAATTTATAACAGCAGGATTTACTGGCCAATTAAGAGGCTGGTGGGAAAACTATTTAAGTTTAACTCAAAGACATAAAATTTTAAATGCAGTAAAAATTATAACAGCCAAAGATGGAAGTATAATTATTCAAGAAGATGTTGTTTATGCGTTAATACAAACAATATTAAAACACTTCATAGGGACAAGCTTACAAAGTACAGATAAGAGTAAAGAACTTTTAATGAATTTAAGATGCCTCACTTTAACACATTTTAGGTGGTATAAAGATGTATTTTTAGCAAAAGTCTTATTAAGAACAGACGCTAATAATGAATTTTGGAAAGAAAAATTCATATTAGAATTGCCCAGCTTATTTGCTGAAAAAATAAGAATTCGTTTAAAGGAAAAACATGGAGGATTTAAAATGTCTTATGAAAATTACACTTATGAAAAATTAATTTTTGAATGTATTTCAGAAACATTAACTCTCTGTAATGATTTAAATCTCAAAACTCAACTTAAAAGACAAAGGTTAACTGGTCGAAAAGAACTTAGAGAATTTTGTAATCAATTTTCTTATAATCTTGATATTCTAAAAATCTTCATTTAAAAGAAAATCTTACAATAAACCATATAAGAAAAGAAGAAAATTCCATAAAATGAATTATGAAAAAGATAAAATAAACAAACCCACTAAAAAACTTAAATCAAAGAGTAAAAAACCAAGTGTTTTAAGTGTGGAAAAGAAGAACGCATTGTTTCTAAATGTTTAACTAAACAAAAAATAAATGAATTAATTGTTGATGAAGATTTTAAAGATAAGATTTTAAGAATAGTTTTAAATTCAAAAAGTGATGAAAGAGAATTTTCAGATAGTTCATTTTTTGAAGAAGAAGAATTATGTAACATTAATGAAATAAATAGTAATTCATTTGATGAACATCAATTAGAATAAGATAAAATCTATTCATCACACTGTGAAGCACAAGCTAACTATTATAAGGCCATTTTAGATATGAATGGATTAAGTATAAAAACTTTAACCAAGTCACAAACATTAATTTTCAATCTTATAGATCAAATTCAAGATCCGATATCAAAAAGAAAAGTTATTAAACAATATTTGAAAATAACTTCAAAAGAGAATAAACTTTCTCTGACTTATCCTTATTCTTTAAAAGAAGTTCTTAATAAAACAGAAAATATGATAATTGAAAAAAAAGAAACTTCATTGCAAGATCTTAAAGGAGAAATTAATCAATTTAAAGTTGAAATCAAAACAATAAAACAAAGAATTTTGTCACTTGAGAAAATACCAATTAAAAATGAAGAAAATACAAAAGAGTGTGAATATTTAAATGTATTAGAAAAAATAACTTATCAAAAATGGTATGTTAAGATCATATTAGTAATAAATCCAGAATTCACTGTTAAAATAATTGTTTTAGTAGACAATGGAGTAGATATGAACTGCATTAAGGAAGGATTAATTCCTACTAAATATTTTGAAAAAATAACTCAGTCTTAAGTACGACAGATGCTTCAAAATTGAATATAAAATTTAAATTTTTGAATGTTTACATCTGTAATCAAGGAATTTGTATTCCTATTACTTTTATACTTATAGTCAATTTAAATTAATTAGTAATTTTAGAAACACCATTTTTATCTATGATTGAACCCATATAAAGAATAGATTCTAAAAGAATACTAACCACTTTAAATGGACAGCAGATTATATTTGAGTTTATAACTCCACCACAAATAAAAATAATAAATCAGATAAAATAAAATTTGATTCATAAAGAGAATCAATTAAATTTCTTGAAAGAATACATAAAAGTCATAAATATATCTGATAAACTTAACTCTCATGAATTTAAAATTAAATTACAGGAAATTGAAAATAAAATAACTACAGAAATATGTGATATCATTCCTACTGCTTTTTGGGATAGAAAAAAATATGTTGTCACTCTTCTTTATATTAAAGAATTTATTAAAAATGATATTCCCACTAAGGGAAGGTCAACACAAATGAATAAAGAATATCTAGAACTTTGTAAAAAAAAATTGATTCATTAATTCGAAAGAGCTATTCACCATGAAGTTGTGTTGCTTTTTATGTTAATAATGAGGCAGAAAAGGATTGAGAAGTTCCTCGATTGGTAATTAATTACAAACCTTTAAATAATATATTGCAATAGATTAGATATCATATTCCCAATAAGAATTATTTATTATCTCGATTATATAATGCTAAGATCTTTTCTAAGTTTGATTTAAAATCAGGATATTGGCATATCCAAATAGTTGAGGAAGACATGTATAAAACTGCTTTTACAGTACCTTTTAAATATTACGAATGAAATGTTATACTTTTTGGACTTAAAAATGTCTCATCTAAATTTCAGAATNTTAGTAATAAATCCAGAATTCACTGTTAAAATAATTGTTTTAGTAGACAATGGAGTAGATATGAACTGCATTAAGGAAGGATTAATTCCTACTAAATATTTTGAAAAAATAACTCAGTCTTAAGTACGACAGATGCTTCAAAATTGAATATAAAATTTAAATTTTTGAATGTTTACATCTGTAATCAAGGAATTTGTATTCCTATTACTTTTATACTTATAGTCAATTTAAATTAATTAGTAATTTTAGAAACACCATTTTTATCTATGATTGAACCCATATAAAGAATAGATTCTAAAAGAATACTAACCACTTTAAATGGACAGCAGATTATATTTGAGTTTATAACTCCACCACAAATAAAAATAATAAATCAGATAAAATAAAATTTGATTCATAAAGAGAATCAATTAAATTTCTTGAAAGAATACATAAAAGTCATAAATATATCTGATAAACTTAACTCTCATGAATTTAAAATTAAATTACAGGAAATTGAAAATAAAATAACTACAGAAATATGTGATATCATTCCTACTGCTTTTTGGGATAGAAAAAAATATGTTGTCACTCTTCTTTATATTAAAGAATTTATTAAAAATGATATTCCCACTAAGGGAAGGTCAACACAAATGAATAAAGAATATCTAGAACTTTGTAAAAAAAAATTGATTCATTAATTCGAAAGAGCTATTCACCATGAAGTTGTGTTGCTTTTTATGTTAATAATGAGGCAGAAAAGGATTGAGAAGTTCCTCGATTGGTAATTAATTACAAACCTTTAAATAATATATTGCAATAGATTAGATATCATATTCCCAATAAGAATTATTTATTATCTCGATTATATAATGCTAAGATCTTTTCTAAGTTTGATTTAAAATCAGGATATTGGCATATCCAAATAGTTGAGGAAGACATGTATAAAACTGCTTTTACAGTACCTTTTAAATATTACGAATGAAATGTTATACTTTTTGGACTTAAAAATGTCTCATCTAAATTTCAGAATATTATGAATGATATATTCAATTCTTATCATAGATTTTGTATTGTTTATATCGATGATATACTAATATTTTTTGATTCTATTGACCAGCATTTTAAGCATTTAAACAAATCCATTCAAGTAATAAAAAAGAATGAATTAGTTCTTTCTTCTATTAAAATAAAATTATTTCAATTAAAAGTTTGATTTTTAAGGCATTATATTGAGCAAAGGAGTATAGTCTCAATTGAAAAAAATATTGAATTTGCTTCTAAATTTCTTGATGAAATAAAAGATAAGAAGCACTTACAAAGATTTGCAGGAAGTATAGATTATTTAACAAATTTTTATAAAAATTTAGCTCAAAGCATATTCGTGCATTATTATACCCGTACCCGTACCCGGATCCTGATCCTGATCCGAATTCATTAAGAAGTCACCTACATTAGCCTCTCGACGATCCATAAAACCCTAGCTTAGCCTATCGTTTCACTCGCTTTTCCCCACTCACCAAACTTTGTGCTTTCGGAAGAACGCTCGACTTCTCAGGTTCTCTCTCTCTCCGAGGTACTTCAGTTCAGCAATTTCTTCTGTAATACTCTTGCAATTCCTTTCGATTTTGTCGTTTAAATTATGTGTTTTGATTTGTGTTCAGATCACAATCGAACGCTCTATCCGTTAAGCCATGGCACTTGTAAGTCGTTCATATTTGATCCTTAAGATTGCAGCTATTTTTTTCGATTTATGCATGCTGTGCTCTTAATTGTATGAACATGATTTCATACACTAATTTAATCTCTCTCTCTCTGTCCACACACATATATATTGAGAGAGATTTGTTTGTGTTGGCTATAAGTAGGTAGGGTGTGAAGCGTTTCTTTTTGTAATTCCAGGGTTTTGTGTTAAGCTGACTTGAAATAAGTGGTAAATTAGAATTTTTTTATGATCCATTTGTGTTCTGATGGGTGCTTAAGTGCTAGTGAGATTTTGAAAAAAAATTGTGATTCCAAGTGTTGTTTAATATATCATTAGCTGATTTGAAATTTTGCATGATATGGTTGTAAAGGATATCATGTGCTCTGTTTGCTAGAATTTGGTTATTTTGAACATTTGAAATCCATATAAAGTTGTTGGTTACAATGTCATTAGCTGTAGTGTGGTTGTCTATGTAAAAGTATGCAATTTAGTATCCATATTCTCTCTCTCTCTCTCTCTCTCAATGAAACTTTCTTTCTTAACATCAACCTGTATCTTATGTTAGCATGATAGATCCATCAGAATCTGTTGAAATTTGTTTGTGTCTGGAATTCCGATCATGTTTTGCTTACCAAGTCAAATTTTTCAGCATAGAGATTCACGTGAGCATACAGTTTTTATGGCAGCATGATTGTATGGGTGACAGTTTGGTGACCTTAATTTAATGTATTGTTTGTTGTATTTGTAGGTCTTGCATACGGGGAAAACAAACAAAAATGCTTATAAGGCTCTCATTGCTGCAGAGTACACTGGTGTCCAAGTGGAACTGGCCCAGAATTTTGAGATGGGTGTGTCGAACAAAACCCCTGAGTTTCTTAAGATGAACCCTATTGGCAAGGTGTGCTTATATGAACCAGAACAGTTAAGATATTATGAATGGCTAGGTCTTTATTTTGGTTAAATCTGTTAACAATATATTTGATATTGATTCATAGGTCCCTGTGCTGGAAACTGCTGATGGCCCCATTTTTGAGAGCAATGCCATTGCTCGTTATGGTGAGACTCTGGCACTTGTTTTTATTCCACATTGTTTCAGTGATGCTTAATGTGTTATATTGTTGCTGTAGTTACTCACTGGAAGCCTGATAATCCTCTCTTTGGTTCCTCTCAAATTGAATATGTAAGTTTTTATCTTTTTTCTTTGAGAACAGGGTCAATTATCCTTATTAAGGCCTTTTGCTTGGGCTTATATCATATAATTTGTTTGACTACCCTAGGGCCATATTGAGCAGTGGATTGACTTCGCATCATTGGAGATTGATGCTAATATTTTGAACTGGTTTAGACCAAGAATTGGGCATGCTGTTTACCTCCCTCCGGTTAGTTAATAGTTTCCTTTGGTTTATCGATATAATTATCTCACTTATTTATGCAATGCTGGGTTTTCTGAGATTGCATAGAAGTGATTCACAGCAGGATCAAGTATGATTCCATAATGTTGGAAATGTTCAACTATGTTTTTTTCTATTTTAGGACTAAGAACGGGATTTGTGATCTAGGCTGATGGATGTTGTTTGATAAGTATCGTTTTGGGTTGGAATGGCAAATTTTCCCAATTTAGTTGTAAATAAGTACCCAAAAAATGGGTCGTGGATTTGGATCCGATATTTAGAATTTAGTTGGTCCAACTCCACAACTTAACTCAACCTTGTGGGATTTCAACTCACTTTGTCACTTTATTTCAAATGAGACATTACAGGACAAAATCTCACAAAAAAATTCAGGCAAACCTTGGGTTAGGTTGGGTAATGGTAAGTTAATACACTTCATGACAGGGAAATAAATTGTTTTCTCTTGTATGTAATTGAGAAGGGAACAATAGAGGAAATTTTTCTACGATGTGTTGATAGTTTTCGGGCTTAGTGTGTGAGGGAATGCATGGTACAGTAAGTAGCTCTCAATTTAAAATAGCATTTTATTAGCACCCCAATCTCTCTGCTCTCTATTTATAATTGTTACTGGAAAAATGTCCGATGAATGGAGAAAGAGTATTCTATAAAAATAAAGGAGATATTCAAAATTGTAATAATTATAGAGGGATAAAATGATGAGTCGTTCAATAAAATTATGGGAAAGGGTCATTGAACATCGCCTAAGAGTTGNGGAATTCCGATCATGTTTTGCTTACCAAGTCAAATTTTTCAGCATAGAGATTCACGTGAGCATACAGATTTTATGGCAGCATGATTGTATGGGTGACAGTTTGGTGACCTTAATTTAATGTATTGTTTGTTGTATTTGTAGGTCTTGCATACGGGGAAAACAAACAAAAATGCTTATAAGGCTCTCATTGCTGCAGAGTACACTGGTGTCCAAGTGGAACTGGCCCAGAATTTTGAGATGGGTGTGTCGAACAAAACCCCTGAGTTTCTTAAGATGAACCCTATTGGCAAGGTGTGCTTATATGAACCAGAACAGTTAAGATATTATGAATGGCTAGGTCTTTATTTTGGTTAAATCTGTTAACAATATATTTGATATTGATTCATAGGTCCCTGTGCTGGAAACTGCTGATGGCCCCATTTTTGAGAGCAATGCCATTGCTCGTTATGGTGAGACTCTGGCACTTGTTTTTATTCCACATTGTTTCANGTCCACACACATATATATTGAGAGAGATTTGTTTGTGTTGGCTATAAGTAGGTAGGGTGTGAAGCGTTTCTTTTTGTAATTCCAGGGTTTTGTGTTAAGCTGACTTGAAATAAGTGGTAAATTAGAATTTTTTTGTGATCCATTTGTGTTCTGATGGGTGCTTAAGTACTAGTGAGATTTTGAAAAAAAATTGTGATTCCAAGTGTTGTTTAATATATCATTAGCTGATTTGAAATTTTGCATGATATGGTTGTAAAGGATATCATGTGCTCTGTTTGCTAGAATTTGGTTATTTTGAACATTTGAAATCCATATAAAGTTGTTGGTTACAATGTCATTAGCTGTAGTGTGGTTGTCTATGTAAAAGTATGCAATTTAGTATCCATATTCTCTCTCTCTCTCTCTCTCTCTCTCTCTCTCTCTCAATGAAACTTTCTTTCTTAACATCAACCTGTATCTTATGTTAGCATGATAGATCCATCAGAATCTGTTGAAATTTGTTTGTGTCTGGAATTCCGATCATGTTTTGCTTACCAAGTCAAATTTTTCAGCATAGAGATTCACGTGAGCATACAGTTTTTATGGCAGCATGATTGTATGGGTGACAGTTTGGTGACCTTAATTTAATGTATTGTTTGTTGTATTTGTAGGTCTTGCATACGGGGAAAACAAACAAAAATGCTTATAAGGCTCTCATTGCTGCAGAGTACACTGGTGTCCAAGTGGAACTGGCCCAGAATTTTGAGATGGGTGTGTCGAACAAAACCCCTGAGTTTCTTAAGATGAACCCTATTGGCAAGGTGTGCTTATATGAACCTGAACAGTTAAGATATTATGAATGGCTAGGTCTTTATTTTGGTTAAATCTGTTAACAATATATTTGATATTGATTCATAGGTCCCTGTGCTGGAAACTGCTGATGGCCCCATTTTTGAGAGCAATGCCATTGCTCGTTATGGTGAGACTCTGGCACTTGTTTTTATTCCACATTGTTTCAGTGATGCTTAATGTGTTATATTGTTGCTGTAGTTACTCACTGGAAGCCTGATAATCCTCTCTTTGGTTCCTCTCAAATTGAATATGTAAGTTTTTATCTTTTTTCTTTGAGAACAGGGTCAATTATCCTTATTAAGGCCTTTTGCTTGGGCTTATATCATATAATTTGTTTGACTACCCTAGGGCCATATTGAGCAGTGGATTGACTTCGCATCATTGGAGATTGATGCTAATATTTTGAACTGGTTTAGACCAAGAATTGGGCATGCTGTTTACCTCCCTCCGGTTAGTTAATAGTTTCCTTTGGTTTATCGATATAATTATCTCACTTATTTATGCAATGCTGGGTTTTCTGAGATTGCATAGAAGTGATTCACAGCAGGATCAAGTATGATTCCATAATGTTGGAAATGTTCAACTATGTTTTTTTCTATTTTAGGACTAAGAACGGGATTTGTGATCTAGGCTGATGGATGTTGTTTGATAAGTATCGTTTTGGGTTGGAATGGCAAATTTTCCCAATTTAGTTGTAAATAAGTACCCAAAAAATGGGTCGTGGATTTGGATCCGATATTTAGAATTTAGTTGGTCCAATTCCACAATTTAACTCAACCTTGTGGGATTTCAACTCACTTTGTCACTTTATTTCAAATGAGACATTACAGGACAAAATCTCACAAAAAAATTCAGGCAAACCTTGGGTTAGGTTGGGTAATGGTAAGTTAATACACTTCATGACAGGGAAATAAATTGTTTTCTCTTGTATGTAATTGAGAAGGGAACAATAGAGGAAATTTTTCGACGATGTGTTGATAGTTTTCGGGCTTAGTGTGTGGGGGAATGCATGGTACAGTAAGTAGCTCTCAATTTAAAATAGCATTTTATTAGCACCCCAATCTCTCTGCTCTCTATTTATAATTGTTACTGGAAAAATGTCCGATGAATGGAGAAAGAGTATTCTATAAAAATAAAGGAGATATTCAAAATTGTAATAATTATAGAGGGATAAAATGATGAGTCGTTCAATAAAATTATGGGAAAGGGTCATTGAACATCGCCTAAGAGTTGAGACTACAGTGTCAAAAAATTAGTTTAGGTTTATACCGGGTAGATCAACTATGGAGGTAGAAAAGTAAAAGGAAAAGAAAAAAAATCTTCATATGGCATTTATAAATCTGGAAAAAGCATATGATAAAGTACCTAAAAATATAATACGGAGATTTCTTGAGAGAAAAAGAGTAATGAATAGGTATATTGAGGTGATAAAGGACATATATGAATGGGCTATGACTACAATTAGGTCTTTCGTGGGAGAGAGTAAAGAATTTTCAATTACGGTGAGATTACACCAAGGATTCGGCCCTAAGTCCGTACTTATTCGTCCTAATTATGAATGAACTCACTAGACACATTCAAGATAATATCCCAAGGTGTATGCAATTTGTAGATAATATTGTATTAATAGATTAAACTCGAAAGGGGATTAACAATAACTTAAGAATTTTAAGAGAGACACTCAAGTGGAAAAGGTTTAAAATACCTAATGAATAGGTATATTGAGGTGATAAAGGACATATATGAATGGGCTATGACTACAANAGAATTCTGATCATGTTTTGCTTACCAAGTCAAATTTTTCAGCATAGAGATTCACGTGAGCATACAGTTTTTATGGCAGCATAATTGTATGGGTGACAGTTTGGTGACCTTAATTTAATGTATTGTTTGTTGTATTTGTAGGTCTTGCATGCGGGGAAAACAAACAAAAATGTTTATAAGACTCTCATTGCTGCAGAGTACACTGGTGTCCAAGTGGAACTGGCCCAGAATTTTGAGATGGGTGTGTCGAACAAAACCCCTGAGTTTCTTAAGATGAACCCTATTGGCAAGGTGTGCTTATATGAACCTGAACAGTTAAGATATTATGAATGGCTAGGTCTTTATTTTGGTTAAATCTGTTAACAATATATTTGATATTGATTCATAGGTCCCTGTGCTGGAAACTGCTGATGGCCCCATTTTTGAGAGCAATGCCATTGCTCGTTATGGTGAGACTCTGGCACTTGTTTTTATTCCACATTGTTTCAGTGATGCTTAATGTGTTATATTGTTGCTGTAGTTACTCACTGGAAGCCTGATAATCCTCTCTTTGGTTCCTCTCAAATTGAATATGTAAGTTTTTATCTTTTTTCTTTGAGAACAGGGTCAATTATCCTTATTAAGGCCTTTTGCTTGGGCTTATATCATATAATTTGTTTGACTACCCTAGGGCCATATTGAGCAGTGGATTGACTTCGCATCATTGGAGATTGATGCTAATATTTTGAACTGGTTTAGACCAAGAATTGGGCATGCTGTTTACCTCCCTCCGGTTAGTTAATAGTTTCCTTTGGTTTATCGATATAATTATCTCACTTATTTATGCAATGCTGGGTTTTCTGAGATTGCATAGAAGTGATTCACAGCAGGATCAAGTATGATTCCATAATGTTGGAAATGTTCAACTATGTTTTTTTCTATTTTAGGACTAAGAACGGGATTTGTGATCTAGGCTGATGGATGTTGTTTGATAAGTATCGTTTTGGGTTGGAATGGCAAATTTTCCCAATTTAGTTGTAAATAAGTACCCAAAAAATGGGTCGTGGATTTGGATCCGATATTTAGAATTTAGTTGGTCCAACNATAACATATAAAATTATAATAAATAAATGATCCGTTTACAGACCAGGAATGGAGAAACATATAACATGTGGGATTAAACAAGACATGATTGGTATTAGTTTCAACTTTGAGTCGAATATTCGCTCAAATTTTGAGTAAAGAGCTTAATTTGATACAAAGTACTTTAATGGAGAAATTAAAAGTTAAAGGATGACAATTTCAAAGTCAAATGAAAACAAACTCAAATTTAAATGATAATAAAATATGATCATCTTTAAAAGAAGGTAAAATGAGCACAAACCCAAATTCAAAAATTTTGGTATATATTTGATATTCTTTTGATTTGAATAAAAAAATTGAGTTTCGCTTGATTTGGTGAAGGTTTTAGTATAGTATTGGAGAATATTTTTAGAGATTTTTTTACCTAAATTTAAATTTGGGTAGAAAAAATAGTAAGGATTGGAGATATTTTAAGCATATCCAATTATTACCCAAATCTTTACTCAAATTTAAATTTAAGTAAACAGACTAAAAACAACATTCAATCATTTATTCAAGGATCAAAATATCGTTTCGAAACGGTCGAAACGTCCGAAATATTTCCGTTTTCAGGGAGACCAAAACGAAACAATGATAGAATCGATATTTTAATATTTCGAGATATTCCATAATGTTTCGAGATATATTATAATATTTCAATGTATTTGCACAATTATTTCAAATGTTTCAAGGTATTTCAAGATATTTTGATATATTTCAACCAAAGTTTTAAAAAAATAATTCTTAAATTTTTTATTTTTTTCATTATATTTTCAAAACGAATCGAAACGTTTCCGTTTCCTAAGTGACCGAAATAATATACTGAAACGAAATTTTGATTTTTGCCTTTATTCAAACTCATACAAAATAGAATGAGACTCAAATTTTTATTTAAATTAAGGTAGATTTAAATTTACACTTAAATCTTCAATGGTCGAAACCAAATAGTCATATTTCACTTTTTTTTTAAATTTAAATTTGTTCATTAAAACAACTTGTATCAAATCATAGTTTTTACTCAAATTTGAGTAAAAATTTGAGTTAACATTAGAAATGGCCTAAGCGCTGGAGAGTTATGTAGTTAGGTTTTTTTTTTTTTTTTTTTTTTTTTTTTTTTTNAGTTTTCGGGCTTAGTGTGTGAGGGAATGCATGGTACAGTAAGTAGCTCTCAATTTAAAATAGCATTTTATTAGCACCCCAATCTCTCTGCTCTCTATTTATAATTGTTACTGGAAAAATGTCCGATGAATGGAGAAAGAGTATTCTATAAAAATAAAGGAGATATTCAAAATTGTAATAATTATAGAGGGATAAAATGATGAGTCGTTCAATAAAATTATGGGAAAGGGTCATTGAACATCGCCTAAGAGTTGAGACTACAGTGTCAAAAAATTAGTTTAGGTTTATACCGGGTAGATCAACTATGGAGGTAGAAAAGTAAAAGGAAAAGAAAAAAAATCTTCATATGGCATTTATAAATCTGGAAAAGGCATATGATAAAGTACCTAAAAATATAATACGGAGATTTCTTGAGAGAAAAAGAGTAATGAATAGGTATATTGAGGTGATAAAGGACATATATGAATGGGCTATGACTACAATTAGGTCTTTCGTGGGAGAGAGTAAAGAATTTTCAATTACGGTGAGATTACACCAAGGATTCGGCCCTAAGTCCGTACTTATTCGTCCTAATTATGAATGAACTCACTAGACACATTCAAGATAATATCCCAAGGTGTATGCAATTTGTAGATAATATTGTATTAATAGATTAAACTCGAAAGGGGATTAACAATAACTTAAGAATTTTAAGAGAGACACTCAAGTGGAAAAGGTTTAAAATAAGTAGGAGTAAGACTGAATATATGCAATTTAATTTTTGTAATTGAAGAAGTAGACATAGTGAAAAAGTTAATATTGAAAATTAAAAAATATCAATGAGCAAACAATTTAGATATCTAGGATCGATCATTAAAAATGATAGAGAGATTAGAGATAATGTAACTCATAGAATCAACGTCAATTGACTTAAGTAGAGAAAAGTCTCTGGCATATTATGTGATAAAAGAATACCAATAAAATTGAAAAGTAAGCTTTATCAAATAGTTATTAAGACACCAATGTTGTATGAGACAGAATGTTGAATAATTAGAAACAACATAGTTGCAAAATGAGAATAGAGGAAATGAGAATGTTCAGATGGGATGTGTAAAAAAACTAGAAATGATAGAATAAGAAATGACTGGATTAGATAAATGGTAGGAGTAGCTCCAATTGAGGATAAGTTAAGAAAAAATAGATTGAGATGGTTTAGTCATGTTCAACAAAGGTCGATAAAGGCATCGGTTCGAAAAAGTGAGAATTTTTCTTAATGGTACTAGAAATAGGAGTAGATTTAAATTAACATTAAACGAAATAATAAGAAAATATATAAAAATATTTATATATTTAACTTAAATAAGCGTATAGCGCATGATCGAAATGAATGGCGAAAACGAACTCATATAATCGACCCCAAATGATTAGAACATATGGCTTGGTTTGGTTTGGTTTGGTTTGGTTTGGTTTGGTTTGGTTATATAGGTGAATCAAGATTTAATTAAAAGGTCTTACATTTCTTTTTAATTCAGCTTCTAAGGATTTTTTTAGTGGTTTATTTTTCCTCTGATTGCTTCATAAGCAACTACAATGTTTAAACAATTCATGCCAGTATTTTGATATCTTACATTATCTCTGTAAAACCTTCACTTTTTGTACAATTCCAAACCACTTTCTTGATTTTGTTGGTGAGTTTATTGTGACTTGTGACTTTTTGTATATTTCTGTGTGAAGGCCGAGGAGGCAGCAATTTCAGCACTGAAGAGAGCCCTTGGTGCTTTAAACACACATCTTGCTTCAAACACTTACCTGGTTGGTCATGCCGTGACCTTGGCCGACATTATCATGACATGCAATCTGTATTTGGGATTTATTCTGCTCATGACTAAGAGCTTCACCGCGGAGTTTCCTCATGTTGAGAGGTACTTCTGGACCATGGTAAATCAACCTAATTTTAAAAAGATATTGGGGGAGGTGAAGCAGACGGTAGCTGTTCTGCCTGTACCATCAGCAAAAAAGCCATCCCAGCCTAAAGAAGCTGCTAAACCAAAACCTAAGGATGAGCCAAAGAAAGAAGCCAAGAAAGAAGTCCAGAAGGAGGCATCAAAACCCAAAGCAGGAGCTGATGAGGAAGAGNAACCTAAGGATGAGCCAAAGAAAGAAGTCCAGAAGGAGGCATCAAAACCCAAAGCAGGAGCTGATGAGGAAGAGGACGAGGCGCCAAAGCCTAAACCAAAGAACCCTCTTGATCTGCTGCCCCCAAGTAAGATGATACTGGATGAGTGGAAGAGGCTCTACTCTAACACCAAGTCAAACTTCCGGGAGGTTGCCATCAAAGGTATATGCTCTCTTTTCACCGCTGATGCTACAAATGTGTGTGTGTGTTAATGTATGTATGTATAAGGTTACATCACCTCTGAGACTCTTGCTTTACATGTTGGAAGTATGTCATGCAACGTTATGTTATGGTTATTGCAGGTTTTTGGGACATGTATGATCCTGAGGGATACTCATTGTGGTTTTGTGATTACAAGTACAATGATGAGAACACGGTTTCATTTGTCACTCTAAACAAGGTTGGTGGATTTCTTCAACGGATGGATCTGGCCCGCAAGTATGCTTTTGGGAAGATGTTGGTGATTGGATCCGAGCCTCCATTCAAGGTGAAGGGATTGTGGCTCTTCAGAGGTCAAGAAATTCCTCAATTTATACTGGATGAGTGCTATGACATGGAGCTTTATGATTGGAAGAAGGTTGATATAGCAGATGAATCCCAGAAGGAACGGGTCAGTCAGATGATTGAAGATCAAGAGCCATTCGAAGGAGAGGCCCTTTTGGATGCCAAGTGCTTCAAATGAGAAATTTCAGTCTTCGAAATGTTGTTTTCACCCCCGAGTCTCGTTTTTTCACCGTTGGCAGTTTTCATTTTGTTTTGTTTTGTTTTGTTTTGGTCAGATTCGAACCTTGCTTTTGTGATTTAGTCAAACATAGTTTTATCAGTTTTGGTCATTTCAGTGTTGTGTTGTGTATGTTACAGACATGCCATTGTGAGATTAAGTTTCATGGAATTATAACGTTATAAGTGTGTTTTGGAGTCCAACATGATCCTTACAGATATCTGACCTGGCATTGTCAGGATCTTGTACTTTCAATTCTCATTTTTGCGCATGCTTTTTTTTGTTGTTTGTGGTTCATACATCAAAGGTGGAGGGAAAATATGCTCGGGATGAGACTCGAACCCATGTTTGTATGGAGTATTCCTGGCCTCTGGTTATCTCCCTCGGGTTTTCCTTAATTAGTATATAAACTTGTGTGTTGTTTGGCCTGTCAAATCCATATTAGATTTCAATGACAGAATTGGAGCAAGTAGATAGTCTCTTGAATACATGATGATATATTTCTTATTTGTGACTTTATATACTTAGTTTTGTGGTATTGATTTGCTTTATAGAATAGGTTCAGAAGAACTGTGTTAGGCCCTTTGGGCATGTGTCAAGACTTGCTGCTCGGTTATATCTTGTACCCTTCTTTTCCTTTAATCTCAATAATCGTCCAATTTAGTGTGTGTGTGTGTGTGTGAGTTTTTGTTACAAACCCATAGAAATATGATATAATAGATTTTGATCGCCAAGTATTTAGAATGAGTATTAAAGTTGTTTAATATCGACAGGGATTGATGCTTCCTAAGACGACTTGTCAACCGTACATAAAATTGATACAAAATTATTAAATGCAAGTTTATTTTTAATAGAATCAAAACCATAATGAGACCGATAAATAAGTCGACATAACTTTAATAATAAACAACTAACATTTTTTTCAATCGTAATACATTTGTTTATATACAGGTTAGACGAAACTATGAATTCAAGTGTACAAAAGTATAAATATGTTATATATGAGTTGAATAAATTTTAATAAAATAAAATATTAAACGACGCCCTTCATTATAGAGTGATTTTAGACGACACATCTTTGTGCATGATTATTTAGAGGCCCTCTTTCATAAATAAATAGGTACTCTCCGCACGTCAACCATCACTCTAGCATAGTCTTCCTAACACAAACATCCCCAATAGATTTACTGTACTTGATAAGATCTCTTTCTTTAATAACAATATCACAGTCAAAGATAATAATCCCTACATTTTCATTCTCAAGCTAGGCTATCTCTTTATTAAATAATTATTTATTTAATGTTTTTAAATACGTTTCTTGATAAGGAACAACAGTGCCAAGCGCGTTTAGAAAAGTATCATGAAGAATGTGAAAAATAAACAGTGGGTGGAAATGTAAAATAGAGTAAAAAAAGGCGGCAGATATACAATTTAATGAATTAATTACTCCAAACACAGGTCCTAGTATGTCGTCAGTTGGCAGGCGGCTGCATTTCACTTTCAAAACGGTAGCGTAGCGTAGCGTAGCTTTGCGGAGAAAAACAGAGCAACCGATATTTCCAGAGAGAGAAACAAATTAGAGAGAGGGATGACAAAGATCTCGGGTGGGAGATTGTGGGGTTTCCTTCTATTCGTCTCTTCAATTTCTCTACATTTCATTTCAGGTTCGTTTCTCAGATCTACAAACAATCCTTTAAGCAAATAATATCATATATACTTTGCTTATTTAAGAATTTGTGGAAGTATTTAGAATTTACTTCGAATTTGTGCTTGGTTGTGGTAATTAGGGCAGTTTTGTAATGCCTTTAACTCTCTATCTGTGATTGATTGGTTCGCGCATGTGGTTTTTTTTTTTCTTCCAGATTGTTTTTTGTTTCCTTTTTTGAGGATTATCAGTTTAAGCTCCGTGCGAATTGTTTCATTGGTCGATTTCTTGTCACGATTGTTTTTTTTCTATTGTGTGTGTGTGAGAGAGAGAAATTTTGCTTGAATCGTTTAATAGCTGGATTTGTTCCTATGATATCTGTTTAGTTGCTAAGAAAATGTTGAAAAATAAAGGCGTAACCAGTGCATGAGGCTCCCGCAATGGCGGGGTCTGGTTCACATGTACACAATGTTATTCCTGCAAGCAAAGACAACTCGAATCCCTGTCCTCCCGGTCACAATGGAGCAACTTTACTCTCTCAAATTAACTCAGGATTAATAATTTAATTGTTGTATTTTGAACTTTTTTATTGAAGAACATATCATTTTTCACTTATTCTTTTGGTTCCAAGTTCTCGGCCTCTCAATGTGAAAGTTCTATACTTTTTCAGTTGTTAGTATGCACTAACTAGGGGAAAACAAAATGGCCATGTATGGAGAATGAAGTGGGTAATGGGAGGAGAAAAAAAACTAGACAGAACTGTATTGAGAGGACAAAACTGTTGTACTGACTAGCACAAGCAGAATGCTAGCTTAGCATCTGAGTGGGCTGTATGGCGGGGTTAGGGGTTCAATTCTTGTTGCGTTTACTCAAAGTTGGAGGTGTGTAGAGAGATAACCAAGCCATCAAGCTTTTGGCTTTTTACATTGGATTTTGACATGTTCGTTGATGATATAACTTCTTTGAACTCAATGAGGGCAAGGTTGTTGTCTTGACAAGGCATAAGGCAATTTTGCTATCATTAAGGGAAGGCCACCATCACCCTATCTCACTCTCTCTTCCCCACCCCCACCCTCCAGTCAATCTTGCTTTTATGTGTGCTTGAAAGGCCACTTATTAGTATGCTTGGGTTTCCTATTCCTGGTTGGTTATGGAAGTTGTTTGCCAATTTAGTCACTGGGGTTTATTGCCCAGTGAAGTACATTATATATGTTTCTGGTTAGCCAAAAGAAGATATCTCTTTGTAAAGGATGAATACACTGTTGGTTTTCATCTCATTTGCAAACTGTATGCACTTGTAAGAAGTTCTCTGTTAATGTTTGTGAAATCAAAATTAATATTTTCTAATTTATCTGCGAAAAAGCTTTAAGTTTCCCATTGATCAGGAAATGTGTGTTGAGGTTGTGAAAGTAAATCAATTCAAGTTAAGCTTCACGTCATTGGTTTCTACAACATGATAGTTGGAATTATTTGCATTGCTGCTATCCTTCCAGTACATCTTCTGGTATTGTTGGAAACAGCACCTAGCATACTGATGACACACTCTTTGAGTCTCGCATTGAATTATGCCCCAAGAGAACTAGTTGGAAGATATCTTGCCAGAATTGAGACGTGTTCTTTACGATTCTATTTAGAAAGCTGTTGAAATATTGGCGTCTTTTTGTCATCTCAGCAGCCTCTCAGCCTTGTTTTGTCTTCTTCGCAGGCTTTTCAACCGATTCATCAAATTCTAAAAATGGGACTAAAGCTGATGCTCATGCTACTTCTGGTGGCAAGACTGGGTCGATAGTAATCATCATATGTGTTGTGGTGGTGGCGGTGGTGGTTTTATCATTTTTCCTTTTCAGATTATGGCAAAAGAAGAAACGTCAGGAGCAATATGCTCGTCTGTTAAAGCTGTTTGAAGAAGATGATGAGCTTGAACTTGAACTTGGCCTTCGTGATTAAGCATGTGTGTACCATTAGTATCAATTCAGTCTGATTGAGATGAAGCTCCTAATGGGCTCCTTTCTTGGTTCTGGTGGAATTTTTTTTTTTTTTTTTACTTTGCAGAATCCAGAGTTAGTGTCCGGGAAACGTTATTTGGTTAAATATTGACAATTTACATTTAATTGAAAATGAATGAGCTTTAATTGTCTCAATAAAATTACAATTTATCTATTTAATCATCAAATACACATAATTCTCCCAATTTCAAATTACAAAATCTCTATTGAAAATCTACTATCTTCCATTGTTTAAATAAATATTTCGTTCCGATCTTTTCTTGCTCATCAACATGAAGATGTTAAATAAAGTGAGAAAGTATATACTATGGCGAGAAGCAATATGTTTAATGGCGAACACAAAATGAATAACCAATTAAACTAATGATTACATAACAAATGTCAAATACCTCGAATAGGAGATACGAATTAACATATACATCGTATATTACACGTTACGCGAGATCAAAACACAAATTTGACACTTTATCATTTATTTCACTGTTACGGTTCTCTTGCATGGAGTTTCATTGGATTATGGGCTGCCACGATCCCATATCAATACGCATAAAACACGATCAATGAGCACAATAAACTTAAAAGAAATTCAATGGGAATTTCACAATCACGATAACACAAAATAAAATACAAATAAAAAAAAATCTAGAAATTACTATTTTACAAAGAGATTCAAGAAGAAGTATCTTGGATACCGCCCCTCAATTATCAGGGCTTATAATCGGGTTCTATTCTCTTACCTCAAAACCGTCATTCAAGTCTGATAGATTAGCACCTCAAGACATCACGAATAACATACTTGAATCTTCATAAGCACCTCTGCTTTCCATTTTATAAACAAGAAAACTTCTTACATAGCCACCCATTCTTTTCCTTTATTACTACACTGATAAACACTATTACATTACATTACATTACACTAATTTTTCTTACGTGGGCCCCAACCCCTTTTTAATCTCTCTTATCCTCACTCATGAGTCTATAATTTTTTATTTTTTTTTAATGAGTCTATATATTGTAGTATCCGACGTAATAATACACCCGACACACAACATGTTGCTCTAATCTATAATGAATATAGAACAGTTGGGCTCTTATCCAGCGGGTCAACTTTATTCATTAACCCAAATCGGACCCGAATTTGATTCGCCACAATACTCAAAAATAACACGATTAGTTGACACGAATAATAAATATGTCAAATTAAAGTTTAATACGAATAACACAATTAATGAGTATTGTAGATAAAAAATAAATATTTAACAAGTATTTTTGACAAAAAAAAAATAAGAATTTTATAAAATTTTAAATAATATTATATGAGTCGTTTTGAAATTAAATAATTTTTTTATTAATACGAATATTGACACGAATCCGACCCGTATCAACCGAAAGTACCACGACACGACAACACGATTGACACCTCTATCATACTATTCTTTTAATATTATTTTTTTCCAGTTCTGTTTTTAATTCCTACCAAACGGCATTGATTTTGTATCCCACTATACTATATTACATGATATACTTAAAAAGGTGCAAATTTATCTCATCCACGTAGTTGCCTCTTGTTTAGTTATATACTATTTACCCTTGCTAGTTTGGGTACTTTTTCCTGTGGATTGAATTATGACCTATTTATTGGTGTGAATTTTTACAATAGAATAAATTATTTATTGAGATTATGAAATGATAACACAAATTTGTTTATATAATTATTAATAAAACAATAACATATAAATTATAATAAATAAATGATCCGTTTACAGACCAGGAATGGAGAAACATATAACATGTGGGATTAAACAAGACATGATTGGTATTAGTTTCAACTTTGAGTCGAATATTCGCTCAAATTTTGAGTAAAGAGCTTAATTTGATACAAAGTACTTTAATGGAGAAATTAAAAGTTAAAGGATGACAATTTCAAAGTCAAATGAAAACAAACTCAAATTTAAATGATAATAAAATATGATCATCTTTAAAAGAAGGTAAAATGAGCACAAACCCAAATTCAAAAATTTTGGTATATATTTGATATTCTTTTGATTTGAATAAAAAAATTGAGTTTCGCTTGATTTGGTGAAGGTTTTAGTATAGTATTGGAGAATATTTTTAGAGATTTTTTTACCTAAATTTAAATTTGGGTAGAAAAAATAGTAAGGATTGGAGATATTTTAAGCATATCCAATTATTACCCAAATCTTTACTCAAATTTAAATTTAAGTAAACAGACTAAAAACAACATTCAATCCTTTATTCAAGGATCAAAATATCGTTTCGAAACGGTCGAAACGTCCGAAATATTTCCGTTTTCAAGGAGACCAAAACGAAACAATGATAGAATCGATATTTTAATATTTCGAGATATTCCATAATGTTTCGAGATATATTATAATATTTCAATGTATTTGCACAATTATTTCAAATGTTTCAAGGTATTTCAAGATATTTTGATATATTTCAACCAAAGTTTTAAAAAAATAATTCTTAAATTTTTTATTTTTTTCATTATATTTTCAAAACGAATCGAAACGTTTCCGTTTCCTAAGTGACCGAAATAATATACTGAAACGAAATTTTGATCTTTGCCTTTATTCAAACTCATACAAAATAGAATGAGACTCAAATTTTTATTTAAATTAAGGTAGATTTAAATTTACACTTAAATCTTCAATGGTCGAAACCAAATAGTCATATTTCACTTTTTTTTTAAATTTAAATTTGTTCATTAAAACAACTTGTATCAAATCATAGTTTTTACTCAAATTTGAGTAAAAATTTGAGTTAACATTAGAAATGGCCTAAGCCATGGAGAGTTATGTAGTTAGGTTTTTTTTTTTTTTTTTTTTTTTTTT